CTGTATCCAGTGATGGTCTTCACATCCATGCTTGTCTGCAGTGCTGTGAAGGAGCCCCCAACACTTCTGCATGTAGTTTTATGGTACCAGATGTGTTTTGGCATTGGTGGTGTCTACCCAGGTGTGGTGACTTATCTGTGCATAAAAGGGGCATTACTTCTGTCTTCTGAGATCCTACAGAAACTGCCCAGCTCTAATAGCTCCGTGTGCTTGCCCACAGACACACTCAGTACAGTTTCGAAACTGGCCACTGGATCCCAAAGCCTCATGCGCTAGGTGGTAAAATGAGTGTACACAAGTAAGTGAGCATTTCAGTGTCCTGTGGTAATTCAGATGTCAGAGGTTAAACAGAAGCATGCTCCAACACGGGGAAGAGTCTGCAGCAGACTCACAGAATGGAAATCCTGACTAGTATTTCTGGCTTCAGAATCAACCCAGATGGCGCTCTGGACCGGCAGAGGTGGGGTGGAAAGATAGGACACTGCTGCCACGAGTGTCCCTCTGCCATCCAGGCCCCAGGGAAAAGAAGTGGCCCTCCAAGAGGGCTGGGCTCTTCTTGGAAGGGAGCAGAGAATTCCTGCTTTGTGTGTGACCTTGTCTAATGACTGATGGGGTTGTAGCAGATTCTAAAGAGCCTTCCACAGCCTAGGATCACGTATCAAGAGCCTCAGGTGATCACTGACGTCACACATAAGAGTGCTGATGTGTTAAATTCACAAGAGTCACTGTGTACTAGCTTCCCGTGCAGGACCTTTGTGTTCCATGCTGGACTGGGGTTGATGGGTAAACCTTGCTCTCAAAGATTTACTTTGTCTTAGGCTGTTACATAGAAGATATTCAAATCTCATCAGTTTTTGCTATGCCTGAATATTTAATTCCTTTAAGGAGATGTGTATACCTTGACATTTCTGTAAAGTTCATTTCCGCTAAGTCTCAGTCAATTGTTATGGTGTGTTGATAAGCTTGCAAACAGGGACTCAAGGGACACCGACTGAGAAGACAAGTGGCCTATTTTCTGTAGTCCAGGTTCAGTGACCGCAGAGTGGGCTGCATGCTAAAGGGCAGTTATTGCCACCACGCTCTTGGCAGAGGAAGCGACAAGGCTGACTTTAGGTCAGCCACTTGAGGTTCAAACACCACAGCAAATACAAGGAGTTTTAGAAATTAAGGAGCATCAATGGTTAACAGGGAACATCTCACAAAATATCAAGCCCTATTGCTAGACTCACCTGAGATGACTCTTCATGTGTGCCTAGTAACTTAAGCTTAACTTAACTTACCCAAGTCCGTGTGACCCCAAAGTTTAGGGGCCAGCCTCGCGTCTTTGAGCAGGCCCTCCAGGCAGATCTAGTCCCTAGTATTCTTGGGCCCAGCACACTTCTTCAATATGTTGGTGCTTATCTATGCTGCAGCCCCTCCCTAAACCTTCTGGCAGCACTGAGGAGTTTACCCCTTCCTGTGTAGCAACTACATACCACATGTACCCTACAGAGCTGACCAGCACGATGACCTCTAGGGAATCTAGATGTGGCATGGTTTATGGATGGCAGCAGTTACGTGAAAGAGGCAGTCAGACAGGCAGGCTACACCTTCGTGGGCCTTAGCCAGGTGCCGGACACTCAGGCACTGCCGAGCGATACTTCAGCTCACAAGGCAGAACTGGCTGCTTTAAACAGAGCCTGCAGTTAGGAGGTCAGTGAGTTCATATCTATACAGATTGTAAATGTGCTTTTTTTGTGTTCCATGCACATGCAGCAAGGTGGAAAGAGGCCTACTGACTGCTAAGAACCCAGGCAGCATGGGAGGGAGACGGCAAACCCACTGCAGGAGGTGCTGGGGCCTGAGGAAGCAGCAGGCATTCGCTGTAAGGACACCAGAAGGAGTGGGGTCATAGCAGGAAAGGAAATACCCTGGCACAGCACAGGAAGTGTGACTCCTCAGTCTATACAGACAACCGAGCCACTCAGTGCACGGTCAGAGGCTGAATGTGCACAAGGGTGAGGTGACGCAAAAGGTGCCAGTGGATGGTGGGCTTCAGGTCATAAGGTCACATTGCAATGGCCTCTCAGTGGGAAACGCTTAAGGAAATGCATGGCTCCACCTACCTGGGAAGAGGAGCTTCAATACAGGTAGTCTCGCGAGCATTTGCAGGTAGGGATCACATACTGTCCTAAAGGAAGCTCATTCTTGCCCCCTTTGTCTACAAAACAGCCCTGTTGGTCATGCTCAGCCAGCACCTTTGCTGACTCCTGTGTAGAGGAGTGGGACTTGTCCAGATGATGACCAGCAGGTTCATTTTGCTGCCATGCCTCCAAGTGTCTTCTGGGTTTATTGCTACTTTCACAGGTTGGACGGAAGCATTCCCAACTAAAGTAGAAGAAGCACAAGCAGCACCCAAGGCCCTGCTAAAAGAGATAATGCCACGCTGTGGGCTTTCAAGGCCCCTCGTTTGTGTCTAAATAACTCAACAGGTAGCCACAGCTCTAGGAATTTCTTACCGTCTCCTCACCTCATGGAGACTTCAGTCACTGGATAAAATTGAAAAGGCTAACCATAGCCTCAAGAAAACTCTAGCTAAGCATTGTCAAGAGAGCTCAGATACATGGCTTAAACTATTGCCGACTGCCCTTCTCAGAATGAATAGTGCCTGTGGCTTCCCTCAAGCCTAGTCCACAACAGGGCAACCCTTCCTCACCTCTGACCAAAGCCACATGAAGTGTGTTATTAATGTGGCTGGGCCCCAAGGCTCTGGTGGAATACAGTAATAAAATCCTCCCAGTGCCAGATCCCAACGTCCATGAGCAGCCAGCTCCCCAGGAGACTTGGTTCTGTTAAAGACTTGGTAGGAGGGCTGTCCTTCAGAGCAGCCACAGCCTAAGTGGAAGGAAGCATACAGGTGCTGCTGAACACATACACTGTAGGCACATTACAGGGCATCCCACGTTGGACATCTGCCAAGAATTAAAACTCTACCGCTTAACCTTCCTAGGTGCACGTGCAGGAAGAACCTGCCTGCTCCTGTGAACCAATCCAAGAGCTCAAAGGAGGATGTGCAGAGCCCATTCTTTCTTAGTACCATGGCTGCTGATCTGTAAGGCAGGCATGGATTATCCACGTCTTCTCCTGATTCTTTCTGAAAACTGCTTTTGGCAGGAAGCATCCTCACTCACCTCTTCTTTAGTATTACAGTGTCATGACATGGCGCATGAAGCAAATTTTAAAAACCTCCTCATTTCTCTAGGTAACTTGGCTTATAGCTCAGGCCAGCTTTTACAGCAAGCACTCAAGTATGTGGCTGCCTGGGCTGAAGCATTTACGGCTAGCCGGCAGGCCCGCTTTCTCACAGAGCAAGGAAGAACCTCCACCCTAACGCCTCCATCTTCACGGACAGGGATACGGAACACCGTTATGCTCGGGCGGGATGGGTTTACAATCTGCACGGGCACAATCCAGCAACTCCCAAAACTTGGGAAGTAATGGGGTATATTTTCTTGTTAAAAGAGATTGATTTTATTTTTATTGGAAAGTCAGATATACAGAGAGGAGGAGATACAGAGACGAAGGTCTTTCGTCCAATGATTCATTCCCCAAGTGAGCACAACGGCCGGTGCTATGCCGATCTGAAGCCAGGAGTCAGAAGCCTTTTCTGGGTGTCCCACCTTGGTTCGGGGTCCCAAGGCTTTGGGCCATCTTTGACTACATTCCCAAGACACAAGCAGGGAGCTGGATGAAAAGTGTTGTCTCCGAGATTAGAACCAGTGCCTTTATGGGATCCTGGTGCATTCAAGGCAAGGACTTTAGCTGCTAGGCACCTGTGCCAGGCCTGATATATTTCCTTGTACCGCACTGCTATTTGTTTTGTCCCAATCTTGCTCATACTAATGGATAAACTTGTCAGTTTCAGAATCCAGCAACTACTCAGAGGCAGTAGATCTATTTGGGGGACACAGACATTGGCGGTGGCCGAGAATTCTCCAGCTCGTGAGATGGCTCTACTGCATGAGACAGAGATCTCTGAGCCCAGGGTAAGCAGGGTCTACATCCCTAGCTAAGAAGAGGAAGCTACAGAAGATACGTGTCGGCACCCTTCAGGAAATGTCTGAGGGGGGATGGGGGGTCTAGGTAGACAAGTAGAGTCTAGACCATGAGTCTGGAAGTCAACTTCCTCTACAGGTATAAAATTTTCTTGTCCATCCATGTGCTGTCCTCAGTGCATTGCCATCAAGACCTGGGATGTGGTGCCATGTTGCATTGCTAAGGAGTCCCCATAAAGCTGTCTGGAAAAGGGGATCCTGTTTTTGGTCACACATGTCAAGGCTGCACTGCCCGAGAACTCAGTGTAGCCGCTCACTTTCTTGCTATTTGTGGGCAGACGGCAAAGAAAAAAGTTTTAAAAATCTCTACCTAAACTTTTCATTTTTTGGCTCACTCTGTCCAAATATGGTCCACCTGTTTATGTTCATCACACTCTGAAAAAGTTAACACAGGCTTAAGACGGCTGGCCATTGTGCACGACATGATTTTACAGTAAGAGCTGAAAACAGAGGAAAAAAATATTTGGCACTGACCAAAACATCTATACCCCCCTGCACCCACTTGGTGACAAGCACTCCTCACATGACCATATGGCAAGAAGTGCCACTGGAGTCTACCACATGACCAAGTCAGACAAGGACCGCGGCTCTGTGGCCCAGCCAGTCTCCTTGCCCTGGACATGAGGCAGTTCTTTACACAGCTCCTCCCACCTGCCACAATCCCCGTCAGTGCAGGAGAGTACACATCGCCCATCATGAAGCAGACCCTAGTCCCTGGGAATTTGCTCTCAGGACAGGAAGATGCCAGGGCCAACAGAGATCATGGTGAGGGACACAGACAGCAGACTGGCCCTGCCTTGAAAACTGCTCAGGACCTAGCCTCAACGTTGACACGATTAAAGGTACTCACGCATAGACAGAGTCAGGCAGCGCCTAACTTCATAGGGGCAGGTTTTAACTCTATGACATTGGAATGTATTGAGACTCCAACATTCAGAACAGGTCACATTAAAGGTCCCTGAGAGAGGAGGAAAGAGGCGTTAGAGATCTCACCTTCATGACTTTGACCCACCACTACCAACCAATTCCACCTCCTCCCAGAACAGCCACTGCAGGCCCAGCCCTGGCACAGCCTTTGTCCATCACCAGGTCCATGAGCAAAGCCAGGCAGCACTGAAGTATTCTGCCCTCAGAGACAGGATTGAGGAAGTGCCACATGGCAGCCATGGGTGCGAGAACTGTATTCTGCAGGTGAGGCCACCTGTCCCAGGAGGGCAGGAAGCTGCCATGGGCCAGTGTCCTCTGGGACGGCACTGGACACGGCCACTGTGGCCTGACCTGATGGGAAGGTACCACGCCCACACCCCCAACCCCACCCCGTCAGGTTCTTGGGAAAAGCAAGCCACCCACTGGACCCTCTTCTGCTAGTGAGGCCACCCCCATCGCCCTCACACACCACTGTCCACACTCAGTAGGCTCCGATGATCCAACCCCACCACACCTTTCCTAATGTCCAGTTCAACTCCAGTGAAGTCCCAGCCCCTACACTTACAACGTTGCTCACTAACGGCAGTGCCATTGCTCTCCACCAGAGGGAGCCCCACGACGAGCAGTAGGGCAAGCAGGATCATGGTTTCCTGCAGGAGCTGAACCTGCAGGTGAGAAGTTAGCAGCAGCTTGGTGCCAGGGCTGCAGGCTCCCCGTGTCCCCCCCAGGACAAAGGGGAGATCTCAGGAGCAGTAACCATGCACCAGCTTACACACTACACGGCTGCGGTGTCAGGAACGCCCATGGATACAAGGCATGGAAGGTCAGGAAGAGGGGACTGCGGGGCCACAGAACAGTGGCCCAAAGAAAGCCAGTTTACTCACATGGCCTTCTTAGTAAATGAGGGCTTTCAAAATCATCGTGAGAATACTGCAGGTGGAGGGGAAGAATTATCAAAATATCTTTTCAACTTGGAAATATATTTTTTTGTTGTTGTTGAATTGCACAATTGTGAGATGTGAGCACAGCTGACCGTACTAAGAGCTGTCTCTGCAACATCACACTTCCGTCACGCCAAGTGCAGTTTCTTTCCCCCACACAAACCGCTTCTCCCGCACTCTGCACACAGCTGTGTGCCCAGGGCTTGCGGTCCAAGCACAGGCCCTCTGACACGGATGCCTCTGTCCGTCCCCCACGCACAGCTGTGCCTAACCCCTGCGCTCTGCTCTCAGATCTTCCCTGCTGCTCCTCCGTTCCCATCCAGAACCTAAAGGATGCCTTCACAATTCCTCTGCACCATTTCCCCAGCCACTCATTGTCGATCCGGTCTGAACCTCATTCTCGCCTTGCTCAGTAGTGTTGCAGGTGCGAGCGAGATCAAACTTAAGGTTTACTAAGGAGACTTTATTAACTAAGCTTGGTGATAATACAATAACAAATCACAAGTCCATACAGCAATCCAACCAGTCATAATCCAATGAATCACATCCTTAAGTCCATCCACGAAGCTGAAAACCTATGTCCCAGCTTCCCCAACAATATAAGTTATCCTTAGAGACGTGCAACGAATAACCCGGACACACTCACAAAGTCCTGGGCACACTTACAAAGCCGCAGACATTCACCTTTCCCTGGCTCCTCTGCCCACATTCTACTACTGCTAGGCCATGTCTCTCCTGGAACTCCTGACGGCACACAAACCAGAAACAACGTTATTATAACCATTGCCCCTTCTAAGCAGCACAGAGGGACCATGCTCAGGGCAGTACCTGTGCTGGGTCAGCCAAGAGTCGAGGTGCCAGAATAATGGAAGCACCTGGCCAGAAAGAGAGAGAGCCCCTGCCTCATGGGCCTTTTAAAGGGGCTTGTGAGGGGTGTGGTTACACAACAATGCAATACCATCCCCTCTCAGTTGACAGGTCTCACCTAAGTGTTGTGGGCTAAGGAGTTGATTAGTGCTCCTTGGGATGTGCAGGAACAGGAACTGGGCTTGTAGCTAACAATGCCGAGACTAGCTGGACTTGTCTGCATCCAATATCCTGGCTAATTTAGGAAGGGGGCTGTTGAGCATGCAATTATCATTCCATTGTTGTTAGGACCCACCTTCAGGACAGAGGGTAGGGGACACAGCCACATTTCACTTGCCCACTGTCAAGGGGTGCTGGCTATCACTGGCTGCACCCGATAACAGTAGCTCACTGGGTCCATGCGACCCCAAAGTTTAGAGGCCAGCCTCGCGTCTTTGAGCAGGCCCTCCAGGCAGATCTAGTCCCTAGTATTCTTGCGCCCAGCACACTTCTTCAATATGTTGGTGCTTATCTATGCTGCAGTCCCTCCCAAAGGACCTGTCTCCAACATACCACTAGTGTTGGGAGCTTTCCAGCTGAGAAAGGTTATGGGCTAAGTCAGAGAAAGTGATAGCTTCCACTTCTGTCACCGTCCTGAGACCTCCTGCGCCCCCACTTGCTCCACTCCCATGGCCCCCAGCACGCATTATACTCCCTTTGTCTCCACCCGCAAAGCACATCTCCTCTGTTTCCTGGGCCAGATTCCAAACTTCCCTCTTCATGCTAAAACCCCATACAAAGTTCCAAAGGCAAACCAGATCGTCCCTCACAGGAGACCTCCCCCTCACCATCCCCTTCCCAAACTCTGACGCAGGCGCTTTCCCAAGGCCCTACACCTGCTCAACCCACAGAAACCCCCTCCTAATCTACACTCATGGCTCTCGGGCACAAAAACTCGGTTTCTGGTCCAAAAGGCAGGGGACTCTCCCACCCTGGGGCCTATTTCTCCAGGGAATTCGACAGAGTTCGGCACGGCTGGCCCGGGGCCTAAGGATCCCGGGAATGGCATCCTCCCGTACCTGAGCCCCAGAAAGCCGCCTTCCCTCGGTCCTCACAACACGACCCTCCCACGGACTGCAAGAGCTTCCCAGCTACTGCCTTGTCAGTCTACATCACCATCTTGCGCCCAAGTACCTCATGTCCCCCCTCCAGCCCACAGGCACTGTCCACTGCTGCCTCTCTCAGCCCAAGACTTCCTGCCCTGACTTCCCCCTTCCCATGACTGCATGTCACCACCTCACGCACACTCATGTGCCCAAGCCCCTGCTTGGTACATCGATGGCAGTGCCTCCAAATGCCCCCTTTACTGCTGGGTTGGCAATCACCGAGGGCTCCCGTGACAATGCCTCCTCTTCCCCACATCCCTAGAGGGTCCCTGAGGCTGGGTCCCCGCCTCAACACACAACCTCCCAACAAACTGTTACCGTTGATCTTAGCCAATGGACAGATCATACACACTCACACAGACTGTCAGCATGCCTCTAACACCGTCCACCCCGATGCCCACTGTGGTCAAGACGGGTCTTCTCACAGCCCGAGGGACCCCTGCCACAAAAGGCAAGCTGGCTATAGCTGTTGCCGTCGCTGCCCAGCTGCCAAGCGCAGCCACTCTCAGTCACTGCCAAGGCCGCCAGCAAGACAAAGAGGACTTAGCCGAGGTCTGCTCCCACACCACCGACCTCGTCAGGTGGGCGCAGCACCCCACCACACCAGAGCGGCAGCCTTCGCACCTCAGACCATTCCTGACTCCCACCGACTCCTCCCAGTAATCCCACCAGAGGCACAGGCAGTCCAGTCCCTCAGTCTGCCTTCCCATCCTCATCTTCGGAGCTGGCCTCCAGGGATCTCTGACTTCACTCCTTGTCCTTTCTGCTTCTGTTCCTAGCGCAATGCACTGTTTGCAGTCCCAATCACAGTCCTACCTGAGCTGGCCACGGCCGTGGCAGCAGTGCCCCCGAGCCACTCCAACTGGAGTGAGACACTGCCCCCAGCACGCCTCCGCTGCCAGGAAGGCTGCTTTACTCCTGTGCTGCTGCCAGCCTCAGGCCCGTCGCTGGTCCCACACCTGCCACACGCTCCCTCCAGCTCTCCTCCGCAAATTCGTACACACAGCACGTCAACTTCTCTTCAGCACATTCTTGAAACAAAGCTTCCAGGGCTCTTCCTGCTGGGTCTCTACACACAGCTCCTCAAGGGCTGCCAAGGCCCCCCCTCCTCCTTCCAGCTCTGGGAAAGGGTCACGGACCGGTCAATAGCACACGGATCAGAATAACACCCACGCGGCAAGGGGAGAAACACTGACGCTCACCACGGCTCGCCGGCCCCAGACTACTGCAAGGCTAGGGCCTCGCTGATCGGTCAAGCCCCTGGGTGCATCACGCCTTCTTCCTTGCCCTTTTCCTGTGCACTGAGTTCACTGCCCCACATCCTCCCACCCGCGGGACCTGTGCTCCACCTGCAACCTGACACTCTTGCAGACCCCAGCTCCAGGGAGCATCAGGACTCCTCACACCCCAGGGGAGCGGCCTCTATGGCAACTGCTCCTCAGGTTCCCCCTTCACCAGGCAGCTGGCGGGGGGTCACTACTGAGATGCGCTTCTGCTCCATCTTCACACATCAGCCACGTGACGGGAAGCTCACCTCAGCCCTCTGTCCCACTCACACACTCTCCTGCTTCCTGACGCCTCAGCCGCCTCCCACCACGCCTTGCCCCTCACCCAGCTCAACTTCCTCCAACATCTATCCCGAGAGGCTGCACAGCAATGCCCTCCCCGCCCGGCCCTCAGCTGCCTCGTGCTATAGAAACCCCACCCGTAACCGAATCTTGCCCTTGGGCACGCGTTTGCCCCGTGTGCACGCCAGCAGCCGGCCACCTCTCCGGATTTCTTGCCTTGACTTGTCCGTCCTGGCTCAAGCCTGCGTCCTGGCTCCTCCCGGCCCTGCCGTCCTTATCCTTACACATCTCTGGGCTCAGCTCTCCCCTGGGGCACCTACCTGCTCCATCCCACGGGGATTCAGCCCAGCTCAGCTCAGCTCGTGGCCCCGGCTGTCTCATGAGCCCTCTCCACTGTGCTCTGTCATGTCCCTTCCGCGTGGCGGGAGAGGTGCCCACCTGCTCTGACGCACACCTGCTGCCTTGCTCACCGCCAGTGTGTCTCACGCCTGAATTCTGTTCCAGCTGTCTCCTGGAACCTTTCCATGACTGCTGTGAGAACAGCATACAGAGGACAGAACAATTATGGTTTCACAAAGGAAAAGCTTTCAACAGGACTTATCAAAGGAATCACATGAACGTTCTGAAACGAAAAACAGAAGGTGACCAATTCCACTGCGTCAAGACACCAGTTGACATCTCCACGTCCCGTATCCAACTGCCTGCATTCCAATCTCACTCTACTTCCCGACCTGCTGACCAGCATCCTGAAAGGCAGTGACCACGGCCCGCAGACTTGGCCCGCTGCCGCCGTCCACGTGGGGAGTAGCTGCAATTCCCGAGAGCTGCTCGCAGCCACACCCAGGCACACGTGTCCCGCGTATCAGAGGAGTGCACTAAGTGCCCCCAAGTTACAATCACACTCATTCTCTCTCTTCTCTCTCCCCTGCCTCTGGCCTCCCCATCTTTCTCTCCATCTTAATGAACGGAGCCAAAGACAACCTCAGGACACACAGGACAGATTTGGGGGAAATCTTCAGACAACTCTTACGGAGAACTAGACAAACAGGAGGAACGGAATGGAACCGAGAAGGAGATGCACAGAGGAGATCGGCGGGGCACAGCACACCTGTGACTGGATCGTGCGAGGGGGACAGTGAGCGGGTTGGGAGCCCGGGCGACATCTTCCAGGAGCCAGCAGAACCAACAGAAAGCTCAGCGGCTCCACAGAGGAATCAGAGGGAACAGAACCGTGGGCACCCGGCAGCGTGTGAGAAACAACAGCCTGAAGGTAGACCAAGTCCCACCTAGGAGACCAGAACCCGGGAACCTGCAGGCTGCCAAGCAGGAGGACACAGGGGGGCTGGCCAGGCCTGCTCGGCATGGCGGCAGGGAAGGTGGCCTTCAGCTTGGCCAGCAGAACTGGGTGCCCTGCAGAGGCCCAGGCGCCAAATGAGAAGAGGGCCGCCTTGTAGCCCGGGCAGCGGAGAGGAGGGCACAGCATCCTGAGAAAGCACGCCCCAAGCCGGGGCCAGGCAGGAAGAGGGGTCAGGAGAGGCGCCTGCAGCCCAGGGCTCCATGAGTCTCAAGAACGTTTCCTGCCTGGGCTGGCCCAAGCAGCGTGTCCTCTGGTCCCTTGGAAGTGAGGAGCACAGAGCAGGCGCCTCACCCGCCCACTCCCCACTGAGACTTTGGGACCAGGAGGGAGGAGGCAGGTCAAGCTGGCTGGCAAGGGTCAGAGTCAAGGCGCAGGCCCAGGGAGGAGGGCAGCACGACAATGTGGGCGTTCTTGCTCACCCAGGAGGAAGCCCCAGCCAGTGGTTCCCACAGCCCGCAACAGGTGCAGGCAGGGGCTCAGCAGACCCACGACCCACTGACCACGGGGCCTGGCCGTGAGCAGTGCAGGCCCGGGACGGCGCCAAGGGCATGGCGCCCAGGAGGCCCAGGCTGTGTGGGGGCAGGGGCGCTGCCACCCCAGGGACCAGGGCTCAGGCAGGCCAAGCCAGCACGGGATCCAGGCGCGGGCACTCCCGCAGGGAAAGGGGCCTGGCACGCCGAGGACGGGGCTCTGCAGGGACGGCTTGGTCACCCGCGAATCGGGTCCTCAGCAGAAGCCCACAGCGGCCGCCTCAGGCCCTGACCACGGGCCCTCAGGTGCCAGCCTCCCTCGCCCCTCCTTTCTGGAACCTTCCCCCCGTGGCCGGTGGCTGCCGCCTCAAGCCAGAGCCTCAGCCAGCTGCCGCTCGCCCCCACACGGACCCCCTCCTCGGACCCACTCTCTGTGTGCCACCTGCCTTCAGCCACACGGACGGCAAGAGGCCTACCCGAAAGACGCACGCACTCAGGCTGCCTGGCGCCTCCGTTGGCCTGGAATGTTCTAGAAGGCCTGGTGGGGTGGGGGGCACAGGAAGTGCCTCTTCTGCCCTGAGCGTCCCGCAGCCCCGCCCACTGCCGCGAGGGTGCGTGCATGCGCCAATGGGGCCCGCACCAGCAGCAGAAGGGGAAGTGGAGAGTGAGCGCTGGAGCCCCGCCCTGCGGCTGCTGGCCATGGTGACTGTCAGCCCCCAGCTTACTATCCCTTCCCGTCCCATCCCATCCCTTCCCGGGATCAGCTCGCCTGTGGCCCCAGCACCATAGGCCTGGGCTGGTGTGTGCATGGCAGCT